TAATTAGTACCGCCTGTTCGCTTAGCTCGACGCGCAATAGCACATTCATGCGTTATTTATAATGTACAAATGTCCAAGGGGTAAAATTTTCACTTCAAGATGCATTTAGCCTGTGATGAAGTTACTATGATGCRWCGCGGCGCCACGACGACCGRACTAAACACATGGAATTCGGAAYTGATYCAAAACTAACGACCAAACTAAAAGATCTTTTCAGTTTAATGCCAACAATTTCAATAACAAAGCAAGGTATTAAAAGATGAATATTTGATCTACCGCGCGTCGACCAGACTTGTTGTTTCAAAGACGCTCCAAATTTACATAATCGAGTTGAGTATGACATGAGTCATACTGATTGAAATCGAGACTCACTTTTCTTCTTGAAATAACGTCTGTTTTAAAAAAACTATATATTGTTTGCTTGCTGAAGCGCTAAAATATGAAATATTCATATGTTCCTGTAGGATATTTTTCTCTGTAATAATATATAAAAGCTGTTTTTGTGGTGAAAATATGAATTTTGTAAAAGCGAATGAAAACGTGGCTTCAATTTCAATTTCCAAAACGCGTATAGAAATATAATTCTTTCTATATGAATAGACTATTTTGATTTTTATGTAAAATCCATTTTGTTTTCTTTAGAGGGCGATTCGTCGCTTGAATTGTCATCGTAAAATGACACAGGAGAAAGCGGTCCTTCGAAGTCGTCGTCATCTGGTTTTGGAGCAATCAACCCCCATTTTTCCATATACATCCTGGCCGTTTCCTCGTAACCTTGTGCGGTCATTTCCTTGGCCAAAAATACAACCATTTTCACATCCACWGCTAGGTCGATAGGAAATCTACCTTTAGAGTCCATTGCTGTGAGATTCGCACAAGAATCAATCAAAAATTTTGCTATTTTAATCGAGTTTGCCATGACGGCCATGTGAAGCGCTGTCTGTCCTTCGTCGTCAGCCTTCTCCATGTCTGCGCCGTGGTCCAACAATAATGTTACAATCTGCAAGTTGGAGTTGCAGCAGCTCTGCTGTAACGGCGTCATCCCGCGGTTATTAAGATCATTTAAGCTCAAGTTTTGGCTRCAGTATTTCAAAAGAAACTTGACTTTGGTGACATCGCCATCTAAGATCGCTTGATTGAAGACCAAGTTAGAGTTCGAAGACCATCGGGTCAATCCAACTTTTTCAGAAAATTTGTGATTCATTGATGTTAATTTCGCACAAAATTTAACGTTAAAACCATAATGACGGAACTAAAGAAAGAAGAGGAAAGCCACATTGACATGGACGCACATATACTTCCCTCGTCCATCGCATCGGATATTTACATTTTCTTGACTGGGACGCTGCTTCCCGTTCAGTGAGATTGATTATTTTGTCACCGCAACCAACGAGCATGTAACGATCACACAAACTGTCTAAACATCTCTGTTTGTGTTCATTTTAGGCTGTTCACTTTAGAAGTTCTAAGGATAAACATAGACGGGGATAAGTCAATACTTTTTAGATCAGGATTCGTTAGAAGAAATAAAATAAAGCGTGTTCAGTATCCAGCTGTTTGACGCAGGTGAGTTATTCAGTGATCATGACGTCACTTCCGGGTCGTTCCAGTTTACTAGCGCGGCCCAAGTGATGGATTTCAATTGCCATTTTTTACCATATATTTACTAATATTTTATTGGTTGACAGCCAGGCAGGTAAGTTGTGGCGGGCTGTTTGGCTTGGTGGCAGACTGGCTGGTTGCTTAATTGGCGAGTTGTTGAGTGACATTATTATTTTTTGACTGATTTTATTCATTTATTTACTTAATCGATCGGTCGATAAACATGGCTTGCCATTACATTTTACCACTGTATTTTTATTYATTCATTTTTTRTTCCTTTTCTTTTCATKTTTTATTTATATTTTAWTAGTTGGGTTCYCTGTGTCTTMGCATCATAACCAGATCACAAAATTAACCAATCAGATCCCGATATTCCAAATATGGGAGATAGGTATAAGAAGACCTGATCGACAAGAAATCGATCTCTTGATTACATTGCTCAAAGCCAGTGCTATCTCCAAGGAAAGATCAACTTTAGCAGTTTGTAAGAACTGAAATCATACGATAATTCCATCATGACGAACTCAGGAAAACTGCCTTATAAAGTTGGTAAGTGAAAGACCTGGAAAAAGTCCGTAGAAATGCTCGATTATCGTAGATTATTTGAGTACACGTGCATAAGTTCAGGAACATTTTTTCTCAATGTGAAGATTGTGCAACACAAATAATTTTAATAGTTTAGTTCTTTGCAGTAATATTACAAAGGTTTGTTTAGGATCGGCTTGTTTAGGGTTATGGATGCTGTCACTCCATATGATGCCGAATTCAGTCACGTAGTTGTATGTATAAACTTTCTCACATCGAAGTGTGAATATCGTGAATTTACTCTACATTGTAAAATTATATTCTCTCTCCTTTGTGTGCAGATAAAACATGTATCATTGGCATATTTAATTAGTACGTTAGCGCAAAGTATAATAAGTTTTTTAGTTTGCACCTTTGAAATATAGCAAAGTGCATGTGACTTTAWKAGGTGTCAATTTTCTGAAGGCATCTTTCCAGAAACTTTCACACTAAGTACCTGTTCACGTAGTCACTACATGTAGCCAGTGAGCAACAAGTGTTAGGAGTTGCCCAATTTGATGGTAAATTTTTTTGTGTTATCCAAAAATCCCCCCCAAAAATCAACAACAATACAACAACAAAAATAAATGATTTTTGTACATATTTATGTACTTAAGCTTTACAGATGTTTCAAGCTAATACTTTTAGTAGTCTAAACAAAGCATGTCTAAAATGTTAGCAAATTCTATGTTGAGCATTATGTGGGGACCCTYCAGGGGATTACCTGTTTGACCTCCATRGGAATAGTACTGGCTCTAGTAGTTTTCCCAGGTCATAGTCTATTATGTTAATTTATGCAAGGGATAGTCATAGCTATTCAGGCATGTGATGTTGAAATATTGTATTTAAACTGTTTTTTTCAATTGTTATATTTTGTAAAGGATTTCTTTTGAAATTTTAATCCTAAATGTCAAGTAGAGTAAAATTGTCTTGAAGACAAAACTTTACATTTTGTATAGTGGAATTATATTTATTTTCCTTGTTCTTTATGAATAATTTTTTCCATTTCTTAAATTTTATTTATATTTTGCGAATTACATTTTATAATATTCTTTATTTCAATAATATTGTAACATTTTCTATGCAAGGACAGCAATGTTTGGAAACTTGGATAGATGACTTGTCTATATTGTGGTTTTCATGATACTGATATAATCCATCATTTTATATCTTGACAAATATAATTGGACAAAAATGTCTCAGCTGAAGTACTCTGTGATATCATTTTCCATTTTTCTTTTTTAGCTGATATCAGTCTTGCTGATTGGGGTCGCAAGGAGATTGAACTGGCTGAAAATGAAATGCCAGGTCTTATGGCMTTGCGMAAGGAGTTTGGAGACTCCAAGCCATTGAARGGTGCCAAGATTGCTGGTTGTCTCCACATGACAATCCAGACAGCTGTCTTGATTGAGACATTGACYGCCCTTGGTGCTGAGGTATGTAKWGATYAGYAGTGTTTGTCCATAAAATGTAGCTGTAATAAGTACTGACTGTTTCCTAGTACAAACAATAAAAACTAATATCACTAAATACTACTTCATTTTGGTTCTTTTATTGATTGTGTACTTAGCATTATTGAGTTTCCAAATTTGTGTATGATATTTGTGTTTTAACTCTTACCACTTTTAACTTAGGTACAATGGTCATCTTGCAACATCTTCTCTACCCAAGACCACGCTGCAGCTGCTATTGCCAAGACTGGAGTCCCTGTGTATGCTTGGAAGGGAGAGACTGACGAAGAGTACATCTGGTGTATCGATCAAACACTAGTTTTCCCTGATGGACAGCCCTTGAACATGATCTTGGATGATGGCGGTGATCTCACCAACCTCGTTCATGAGAAATATGCTCAATTCTTACCAGGTACTTAAGTTGATTTCAGGGTAGAGAGGCAGGGGAGGTTGAAGATAGTTTCGGTGAGCATGAGAAGGAAGGGACTTAAGAGGGAGATCCTATTTTAAAATGAGTTGAACAAACCTAGACTGAACAGTTGTGCAGCGCATTATATTTGTACTTGTAAAAAATAAAGGCAAAACTTTATCATATTTCTGCAATTCAGGAAGCAACATCATTTCTTGACTTCTTAAAATTCTTAAAAGATTCTTGTTCATATGTTGGCAGTACATTAAATATATTCATATTCATATTTCTGCAATTCAGGAAGCAACATTATTTCTTGATTTCTTAAAAGATTCTTGTTCATATGTTGGCAGTACATTAAAAAGTCCCTGAATTCTCTCCAAACTAAGCAAAGCAAACTCCCTTATTGAACAATTTGTATTCATACATGTATTCTAAAGAAGTCTTTTAATGTTTGTTTGTAGGCATTAGAGGATTGTCAGAGGAGACCACGACTGGTGTCCACAACCTTTACAAAATGAAGGAGAAGGGTGAACTCAAAGTCCCAGCTATCAATGTCAACGACTCTGTTACAAAGAGCAAGTTTGATAATCTGTACGGCATCCGTGAATCCCTTGTTGATGGTCTGAAGAGAGCAACAGACATCATGTTGGCAGGAAAAGTAGTTGTAGTGGCTGGTTATGGTGATGTTGGCAAAGGTTCTGTCCACTCACTTAAAGGCTTTGGTGCTAGAGTTATTGTTACAGAGATTGATCCCATTAATGCTCTACAAGCAGCCATGGAAGGTGAAGCATTGCAAATTATGTCACAATAATCCCTTTTTCAGGTCTGCTTGTTTACATGGGGGATGATTCAGTTTCAAATTGTTTGAGTTTGTTAGCATGTCCACTTACCCATGCAGAAACTGAACTGGCCCCAACTTTCAACAGAATATTGAGCGTAAAGAGAAGTTGGAAGATTTTGTGCATTTGTTCACTGTCCTTATATCATTAGGTGCTGTATAGTCTAATTAATTTTGATCATTAAAACCTTTATATTTTGTATCCCCAGGATTTGAGGTCTTAACCATGGAGGAAGCTTGTTCAAAAGCAAATATTTTTGTAACTGCAACAGGATGCAGTGGAATTATCACCAAAGAGCACTTCTTGAAAATGAAAAATGATGCCATTGTTTGCAACGTTGGACATTTTGACTGTGAAATTGATGTTGCTTGGCTAAACGAAAATTGCAAAAAAGATGTTATCAAACCTCAGGTATGAAGAAAGATATATATATAATGTATGTACGATGATAATGAAGATGGCTGTGTTGATAAGTGGTGATGGTATTTGTAGACATATTGATGGTCAAAAGCATAGCTAAAACATTGCAACTTTCAAAATGGTTTGGGGACAATTGCAGTGGAGAGTCATTAGAAAATATAAAGGCTATACTGTAGCTTGCCCATGGGTTTTGTACACRCAAAAAATTTGCTCTTAGGATGACAGCAATAGTAGCAGTGACAATTGATAATCTGTTTTGACATCACAGGTTGATAGATACACTCTTCCTTCTGGAAACCATGTCATCCTTTTGGCTGAAGGTCGTCTAGTTAACCTTGGATGTGCAATGGGTCATCCTAGCTTTGTTATGAGTAATTCTTTCACCAATCAAGTCCTTGCACAAATTGAGCTTTGGAGCAAGAGTAAAAATTATGAAATTGGAGTTTATATGCTTCCAAAAACGGTAAGATTATAATTTGCAGCGACTGGCTTGATAATAGAGTGCTTTTCTGTAGAATAGTATGTCTGTTAATGTTAGGTATCTTGACAATTTAGTAACTAACCCTTTATTGTCTTTTCAGCTTGATGAGAAAGTTGCTTCTCTTCATCTTGATCATCTTGGAGTCAAAATGACAAAGCTCACCTCAAAGCAAGCAAATTACCTTGGTTTACCAGCTGAAGGCCCATTCAAACCAGAATACTACAGATACTAGGCATAGAACTCACAATGCTGTGTAACGGACATATACATTGAACTTTGACATGTACTGATAGCAAGTCTGGTGTTGCCAGAGCTGATTTAGGGATTTACATGTATGTGATGCGTGGAAAGTGTTTTAACAGGGGAAATTAAAAGATGTTGCATTGTAATAAAAAATAACAAACCATCTTCTTATTCTTGCATTTAGTGATGATATTCCCTGATAGCATATCCTTTCAACTGTGAAATCTTCTTCTAGCAGCTATGGAAGTCATTATGGTTAACACTGCAAAATRCTATAAAGTTATTTTTCCCAGGCTGTAAAAATGCTTAAGKGGTTTATACATGACTCACTATTGTGTGCACACAATATCTGGCATTATTYCATAGTCTGGGGAAAATCACTATACWAAAAGAAAAGTGATTGGAAAGGGAGGGGCTTAAGCGAGTGGTGAAAWTTGTAAGTGAACAAAATATTCTTGAATGAAGTGATTAAAATACATAATATTTACTATCTGTAGAAGAAGGAAAATG